CTGTCCCTCAGCTCTTCAGCTCAAGGCTAGAGCTCTACCACTTGAGCCATAGCGCCACTTCTGGCTTTTTTCTTTTTGTGTATGTGGTGCTGAGGAATCGAACCCAGGGCCTCAGGCATGCAAGGCAAGCGCTCTACCACTGAGCCACCTTCCCAGTCCCTATAATCTTCTAATCAATATCACTCCTATCATTCTGTCAGCCTCCTTCTTAATCTTCTCTCAAACATTATTTTTTCTTTAATATTTACTACAGGGCAGGGCAAACTATCACTCATGGGCAAAATCTGGTGTGCTATTTTTATATGGCCTGTGAACTTAATTTTTTTTTTTTTTTTTGCCAGTCCTGGGGCTTGAACTCAGGGCCTGGGCACTGCCCCTGAGCTTCTTTTGCTCAAAGCTAGCACTCTACCACTTAAGCCACAGTGCCACTTCCGGCTTTTCCTGCTTATACTGAGGAATGGAACCTAGGGCTTCACACATGATAGGCAAGCACTCTACCACTAAGCCACATTCCCAGCCCAGTTTTTACTTTCTTATTTTTTTTTTCTTTGTGCTGGCCCTGTGGCTTGAACTCAGGGCCTGGGTGTTGTTCCTTAGCTTTTTTGCTCAAGGGTAGTACTCTACCATTTAAGTCACAGCTCTATTTCCATTTTTTTGGTGGTTAACTGGAGATAAGAGTCTCACTAACTTTTCTACCTGGGCTAGCTTTGAACTGTGATCCTCAGATCTCAACCTCTTGAGTAGCTAGGATTATATGTATGAGCCACTGGTGCCTAGCAGTTATTTATTTGTTTATTCATTTATTGAGATGGAAGTTTCTGGGTCCAATCCACAATTCACAATTAGTAATGTATTTGTGTGCATGCATGTGTGTTTATGTGTATGGAGATATATTTGATCTAGCATCCACATGAGAGAGAAGACAATCTTTGTCCTTCCCGCTCTGGCTTCCTTCTGCTAACATGATGGTTTCCAGTTCCACAGGCTCCAGCAAGCCTAATCTAGCATGAGTAGAAGTACAGCAGAGGCACTCACTCACCCATGTGCACTGCAGCACTAGTCATATAGCCAAGCTATAGATAGCCCAGGAGCTGGGAAGGTGGCTCAGTGGTAGAGCGCTTGCCTTGCATGCCTGAGTCCCTGGGTTCGATTCCTCAACACCACATAAGCAAAAAGAAAAAAGCCAGAAGTGGTGCTATGGCTCAAGTGGTAGAGCTCTAGCCTTGAGCTGAAGAGCTGAGGGACAGCACCCAGGCCCAGAGTTCAGG